ATATATATATATATATATATATATATATATATATATATACACATATATATATATATTTATCATTTATTCTATGCACATGTCAACTAGCGATCGATTTAGTCCCAATGGTCATGTGTATAAATTCACACCCTGTGTATTTTATCGAACAGGCGAGGTTCGTGTTCGGAGTGATCATTGTACATGCTCAATTTAACATGTCTGACCTGTTTTTCTTTATGCAGATCTCTTCACTCGAGGTATCGATATACAAGCCGTGAACGTGGTGATCAATTTTGATTTCCCTAAGAATGCCGAGACTTACCTGCACAGAATAGGGCGATCAGGGAGATTCGGTCATCTAGGATTAGCCATCAATCTTATCACTTACGAGGATCGCTTCAATCTGTATCGGTATGTCTTCTAGTCCGTTCTTTAGAGCAGCTTTGTGTTCGTGTATGCGTGTCAATCTGATGATCGCAGCGTGTGCGCTCGTGGCAACATATATTAATACGCATCTATATTCTAAGCTCCGATTTCTCAGCCACCTTAGTTATTCACAGTCTGACACCAACGTGTAGTGCGGTTACGGAACGTGTCTACATTGTCTATGCGTATGCAGCCTTTTTGCGCATGTTAATGGATATTTTAAAAATGTATCTTGAAAGGGGTGACCAGGTTGCACAAAAACCGAGCATACTGGCGGCCCGCGCCATGCCCCCACCTTCAGACATTCAAGCTCGATTCAGACCCATCAAATGAATGACATTGTATTATCTTATGATTGTCCCACCAGCATCGAGAAAGAATTGGGCACAGAAATCGCAGCCATTCCGTCGCAGATCGACCCACAACTGTATGTGGCCGATGCGTAATCTTGTCGACAAGCAACGGGTCCCTCAGCCTCAGATGTGGTCACAGCGACCGCACATCCACCACCACCACAATATAGCTATGTGCAAGACAAGAACAATATACGAAGACATGGCCAGGAAGATGCCATGCCCGCGAACATGCACGTAAAGTGCGCTCTATTTAGCGAAGAACCACACGAAAGCGCATGCGCAAACCTTATCGCGGTGGGGCACACGAAAACTATATCGCGGAAAATGTACATAGGCACAACATAGCACGACAAGGTGGACCAAATTGGGCGTACGAGGGCCTGCGTTGCATAGGCTCCCGAGTCACACATACTGACACGAAAGAGAAATTTTAGAATGACTATACACTCCCCGCTCAGTGGTACATGACACAGATACTACGTGCATGCATATTGGGCGGAAAGATCTATGTCAGTGGCAGGATATTGCAGTACGATCCCTGTCGCGCCTCTCCAATACTGGTGCGCTGCAGCACCGGGAAATGTACCCCACGACATCACACAAGACACTTCTCATCCCACAGGGAAGGATACAGTATACAACGTCACCAAAGTATGCACCCACCACTATACACACAACGCACGGTAGATCAGGAGTGACGGGGACGCTCCTGGCTACGTCTCACATAACGCATCGGAGTATCACATAGTCAATAGAGATAGAGATGGCTTCTGATATCTCTCGCGTGACCATAGTCAACGAAGTTACGACACGGAGCGGACAGTCTCATCATACAGAAGTCAGGTCTATAGCCGCAGAGCCATCAGCGGCATGGTGGCGACCTGCTACGACCGGATCTAAGCTTGGACGGTTTCAACGCATCGCCAAGCTACTAGACGTGTATGTAAAGGACTTGTCCCCCCGCAAGCGCTTACAACTATAAGGACGATGCACCGCCTCTCCATCCACTCATTGCCCCTTACACACTTCACACACTTCATATACACGTGCTTGAAGCCCCACAAGGTAGACGCATGTGTCGACAGTACACAAGCGGCCCGACGCCACCCCCAGTTGGCGTATATAGCGCAGATCTTAGTTGGAATCTGCGAGTATACACCCCTCGGGGAATTTATGTGTTTATGAGTCTCGCAGTTCACGTAGAGATACCTTTGACGGACTAATTTGTATTCCCTAGAGGTTACTCGTTGCGAAATGCTTGCACTTATTCACAAACGTGACGGCCAATAGTTTGTGGACTTCTGTCAAACGAATAAAAATGGTGCACCGAATTCAAGTCTGTTACGTCGAGTATTTAGAATTTCAGATGGCTACTGTACATAAACAGTGTTCAGCCGAAAAGTCTGCTTCCAGGGCGCATCATCAGTTTTTGCTCAATTCCATGTCACCAGCGATATATATGGTTTGTGCCGTCCAAACTTGTGTCCGTTGAACGAACAACACCCTCATACTTCTAATACAACACACTCATTTCTAAGCCTACATGGCATCGGTTCAACTGCAGTATAGTATCCTTGTCACTACAATAGGGCTTGGGTGAGGCTAAACCGTCACTACAACCGACCCGTCCTACCTGTCTGTTCCATCTCAGTATATTTTAAGTGAAAGTAAATACTTATGCACTGAAAAGCAATTGAAACACATGCTGACACACATGTGTAGCTAACATACCAAGTGATTGCGCATGCGAGTCCGTTCGAAAGCTACGCTATATTCTTGTTTTGTGTTCATCTTGGATCAGAAAGCTTCCTCATTTTATAGGTATTTTAAAGCTAAGATTAAGACTGTTTTATATTTACCCTGACATAGATCTAGCTTAAGATTTTATTTAAAGAATTTCATACACTCGAATTACAAACATCACTAATGATTCTGATCAGTATATAAAAATACTGAGCTACAATCAGTATCTCACCAATCTAGCGCATAAGTGTGCCTAGATACTCTCACGGGTTTTTAATATATTTAACAGATGTATGCCGCCGTACATTTATAACTAGACAAACAAATAATGAGGCATTGACACTTGCGTTAATAAGATCTGCAATGCACCCCATAAAGTATAAAACTCTGTATTCCTAAATTTTGGTTTTAAAGTAAAATTTACACACATGTATGCAAATAAAGGCATGTAGATATGTAAATCTGCAAAGGCTTAGGTATATATATA